CTCCAATCATGCTCTCCAGTTACTGCTCCAGGACCCCTTAAGCGTTCCCTCTTCCCTCAGGCCTATGCTCTAAACTAAACAATGTTTCTGAAAATTAAACAGTGTTTCTGAACACTATCTCTGGAAAAGCTAAAAAAAAAAATTTTTTTTTTTTGAAAAAGCTCACAAGATCCAGTTTCCAGATAAAAACTTACCCATCTAACATATCCTAGTCTGACCCCAGATTAACTGTTACTGAATTTGCACTTGATGCTATTTTACTAAACCTGATCTGACTTTCAGAAATCAAAGCTCAATTTTGGCAAAAGCTGTGCTTTTTAAAAGATACAAGTACAAGCAGGGCTCTTCACTGGGATGGGTTCCTTCCGAATTCAAGGCCTCCAATTTGGAATGTTTTTCTGTAAAGAGGAAACTCCAAAGTCTATTAGCTTCTGGCATCCCTGTAGATTCCCTCTCTCATCCATTCTAAAGGTCCTTTGTAAGCAGGTTCTTCACTCACTTCCTGGGCTGGGTGCAGATATCCACATATTTCTACAAGTTGCTTTTCTTGATTTATCCTAGACATCTTTTTGGAAACATTGTTAACACAAATAATCTTAGAATCCATCAACTCAACATGTTATACTCTTCTGTGACACCTTCCTGTCTTTTTGTCCATATAATTTTATGTGGTTATAATTCTAATATTTTAAATGAGTTTTCTCTTGATAAACATGGCTTATTTGACCAAATCCCATTTCTTACACTGCTCACCTACACTCCTCTCTTCAAAACCCATGCGTGCAGTGGCTACATCACAGTGCTTTGCAGAAGCAGTGTTAGGAAAGGGCAAACGCCTGGCACGTTGATGCCACCTAGGGGAGCTGCCCCAGCTGCTGGTGCTCAGGAACAGCAGTGCAGGATGCTAGATTGTCGGGGCCTCAGCTGGTTTGCTCACTTCACCACTCAGCGGTCAATGCTCAGCACAAGGTCTGGCATGCAGTAAGAATGTAAACATTCACTAAGTGACCAATGCTCCACAGACTGACCTGATCTGGGGGTGGTGCAGGTTGGCATGGAACAAAATCCCAGCTAATAGGAATAAACTTATTGTTTTAAATAGAATCCTGACTAGTGAATTAACTGATTAATTCAACAAGAATATACTGATTGCCAGTTATGACCAAACACAATTGGACGAGGTTGAGAAAGCCAAAGGAGGAATAATTTGGTGGGTTCTCCCTCATCATCAAACTGTGCTGTATTTACAGAGACATTTTCATTTTTTTAACAGACACAATCTGATCTACTTTTGCACAAGAGTTACGGAATAGAGAAAAGTGATGGGGGGGGAGCCATTTTACTTGAGGAAGACTGCAAATTAGAGTTCTTTATCAACTCTCAAAGAATGACACTGAGCTAGATCTTTGTCAGAAACTAATCTACACTCATCTGAAGTGTTACACACATTCTAAATACTCAAAGAAACACTCCATTGTCCCAAAGGGATTGTTCTGTTGGGATTCACTTTAAGTAATGTGCCTTTCTCCAGAATCAGTATGCTAGAAATGGCTCCTTGTTGTCTGATGAGAGATAGGGGCACAAAGTCACTCAAGAGGTGTGACCTTGCAAAAGATGGGTCTCTCTTGAGTTCTCCTTGACCTGTGGCCAGAGCTGGTAGTCGACAGTATTTCCCAGCAAAATTCAATTAGACAAAAATCCCAGAGCTGATTTTCTCTAGAATAATTCTGATTTAATTTCTTCTCATATGAAGAGACAAATTGCATTTCAGAGAACATCGTTTAAGTTATGAGGTTCCCGGCAAAGCTGTTTTGCAATACTTGTTTACATAATCTAAGTAAAGTCGGCAGCTTGACTGTGGCAGCTTGACTGTATAACTTGAGCCAGCCAGCTCAGCTTGTGCGCATGTTGGGAACTGATTTCTATTGTTTAGGTGTCAAGTATATTTGGATTTGGTTTTGGACATATAAATTGGGCGAAACTGAGGTTAAAAAACAAAGCAAAACAAAACATCACCATCAGATTTTAAAACACAACAGGTCGGTGTGTTATAAAGAACACTTGCCACATGGCTTATCCTCTGCTCTTATCAACATTAATGAGCATTTAACATTTTTTGAATACTGATATTTAAGTAGAAGCCAACTCTTTGGAGAAAAAAAAAGCATATGATCTTTTTATGGCTCAGTGTGTTACTAATTACTTCTCTTTAGTTTGCTATGCAAGATTCACAGAAGTGAATATTGTAGCGTGTTACAAATGCAAAGAGTAACAAACAGTATGGAGAAGCAGTTATACACATCTCATCTAACTTACTTTAGACGAAAACTTCCAAAATAAAAGCAAAGCTTTTTTAACACACATGATTCCGTTTGCAGAGAAACATACTAAATACTTAAACTTTGGACAACTAGGAGTGGTTAGTCAATGCTGCTTCCAACTCAGCCCCCTTCACAAGGCCTCCCTGACACTGGCTTCTCAGCAGCCCTCAGCATACACTCCTTGCATCATAATGAATTATGGTGCGCAGTTCCTTTACTGGATTAAAGGTTCCTTGGCATATGAATGTCTTATGTCTTCTCCAATGTACTGAACATTGTAGTTTACTCAGTTATTTATGAAAATGAATAAACACTCACTTGAAAAATGCTCGCAGTGAATTCCAAGTAGAGACAGAAAACTGCTCCACTCCTACAGTGAGTAGCTGCATTGCGTTTGGAAAATATGTGTAATATAAAAAAGGATTTTCCTGCAAGACTGTTAAAATGGACAACTGCTCCTTATTCCAATGCGTTTTTTGGGGTGAATGATGAAGCCAATTTTGCAATGATCAGCCCAGGTATCAAACTTAGTTGTATTCTGTCTTTTTGCACTTTCTCATTTAATATTAATGTTCACATATTTTCCCATAAGCTGTGTAAGAAAGAACTCTGAACAACTGATTTTTAAATTTTCCAATGTTCTCTGATGTGTATTAAATAAGTGAAATGTGAAGCCAATAGGGTAAACCACATCAGAGTAAAAAGTCAAACAAATTTAATTAGAAAACTCCAAGAGATGAGAGTGGAGAAAGAAAAGTATAAAATTAATTGTAATGTGATCTGAATGAGCTCATACCTTGTCATTCTCATGTCTGAGCCACGACATATATATATACACACACAGGCCAAAGGAGTTGGTCTCATGAAAAGAAATATAAGGGGGGAAAATTATTTATCGTCTAACATAGGATTATCAAGGTTCTACATTACTAAGTCTTTTATAGAAAATAACAACAAAGATCCATACTGTCTTTTTTTGTTTAGTAAATAACACATTCATTATCATATTCCCTTTGTTCATTCAATGAGTAAAAATACAGCAAATCATTGTTGCACATGTAAAAGCATTCAAGTACATTACTGAAAAGAGGCAATGGGAAACCTGGCTCTAAAGCTTTCCAGACAAAGCCAGCAAGGAGGGGTAAATGGGCAGGGAGCCTGGTGGTCTGCAGGTGCTGCTAGCTCCTAACTGAACAGGCTTCGGAGGCCAAGAAGCTTCCTCTGCTCATTACAGCCCCTCTCCTAAGAGAAGCTACTAACTCAGGGCTCCAGACACCTAAGCAGAATTTTCCAATTAACCTGACTTCTACCAGCAGTTTCTGCTAACACAAACTTTCAGACTATCTCCAACAAATGTAATTTTGTAGCTGCATAGTAAGCTGAAATGACATCATGTCTGAGAATGGCTTTAAGATATTTCAGTGGAAAAGAAAAAAGGCATAGCAGAAGCAAATGCAGCGGTCTTATAATTACTAAACCTGTGGGTAGGGAGGGTCACGTTATTATTCTCCCTATTCATGTGTGCTTGTCAGTTTTCATACTGAGGATTTTTACAGAATTTTAGTAAACACAGTTCATTGTTCCTACGGGCATCTGGGTCTATGAAGAGGACAGGAGCTTTGTTCAGAGATCAAAGTTGGTCTTTGAATCTAGGGCTTTTCACCAGGTTTGGGAAAAAAAAACGATTTTACCTGCTTTTCTCAAAGGAAGGAAAAAATACAAACCTACACTCTATCTGGGGATATGGAAATCTGGAACAACACAATACATTCTTTACCTTTAGCCTAAAATTAGGGAATTCTAAAATTTTTAGGGAAGAAAAACGTACTACTGATTATGTCCTGAGCTGGACACAGAGGCTGCGTCTTCAATGGAAGACATGATTTAGAATTTGGCTTAGTTTGTAGGTCAGAGGAAGAGAGGGATTTTTTTTTTTCCTTTAAGATTTATTTATTTTTATTGGAAAGGCGAATATGCAGAGAGGAGGAGAGACAGAGAAGAAGATCTTCTGTTCAATGGTTCAATCTCCAAGCGGCCACAATGGCCAGTGCTTCGCCAATCCAAAGTCAGGAGCCTCTTCCAGGTCTACCCACGTGGGTGCGGGGTCCCAAGGCTTTGGGCTGTCCTCGACTGCTTTCCCAGGCCACCAGCAGGGAGCTGGATGGGAAGCGGGATTGCTAGGATTAGAACTAGTGACCACATGGGATCCCAGCGTGTGCAAGGCGAGGACTTTAACTACTACGCTATCGCGCCAGGCCAGAGAGATTGTTAATTTTAACAATCATGTTCTCAGCTCTAAAGAAAAGAAGGACTTAAGCCTTTTGCCCTGATCATTACAGAAGAAAGCTGATTGGGGTTGGCTTCTGGAGATCACACTTCAAAGAGAAGGGTCCTTTCCCTACACTCAAGAGACCACATTCACCCCGCAGGCCTGAGGACACACTGGGCAGAAGCTACACCCTCCCTGGCTACTCCTTCATCCTTTTATCCCCTGCAGGGTCGTATATCCCCATGGGGCTTGTCAGGACAGCCTAAGTAATGCCCAGACCCAAAAAGCAAAAAAGCACAAGAACCCCTGCATATCTATGGGGACAATCATTCTTGTTCCTATGCAAGATTCAGCATAAGGTCTAAAACACTAGGGCACCCATACCGGGTTAGAAACAGAAGAGGAACTGAACAGCAGCAAACTCTATTTTATTTTGCACATATGTCCTGACCATGAGGCCTGTACTGAAAGTTTTTTTTTTCTTTAAATAGAGGCTCAGTTAAGAATCCACCCTCTTAACATTTATGTCATTAAATTTTCTTTAAAAAAAATGAGGTATTTGGTTTACTGTTGCAAATAGCAGCGATTTGGGCAACCTGCAGAAATAGGCTAGCAAGTAAGAAAATGAGGTGAATATACAAAATACAAAACAGAAACCGGATTTGGCAATATGCTGCTGTGACACCCTGAGAGTCTTTACAATAGCCCCAATCCATCTGCCCATCTTCTATCTCTAAAAACAAAAACAAAGTTAGCATGGTTTCATCCTAGGACATACATTTCTACCCAGAAGACAAGACCAAGAAAGAGGTGGGCAAACATGAGAAAGAAACAGATTAAGATCCTTCTTATTGCCCTGCTCCCCACTCTAATCAGAAGTATCTATTAACGAACCACTTTTCCCCTGCTTTCCAGTTGTCTTAGGAAAACATTTAGATATTAGGGCAACAACAGCACTGATAAGTCAATTTATGTAGAACTGTTGTCGAGGCTCGAAGTACCACGAACGATCTTGAGAAAACAGTTGAAAATTTCACATAAAAAATTGAACAATCAGGTTAGCCAGGCCCAAAATGATGATGAACATGTGAAAGATTAACTTAGGCCATGTCAGACGCTCTTCTTGGTGGAGGGAAATTATGTAGATGAGGGAGGGATATATGAAAACAAAGGCCAGGCCGCAGGCTGCTCCTGAGTACCTGCAAAACAAGAGCTTGGGGGTTAATGCTCATCTTGCATTTCGCTTTTTTTCATTTTGTAATTAAGGTAAATACAGTGTAACTTCTCAATCTGATACTGCAATAGATCCAAGAACTTGGGCTTAAATGTTGTTCTCATTGCTAACTAAACATAAGATATTACTTCCTGTTCATCTTCATAGCATCTGCTTGACAATGAATTTCATCTCTCAAATCTCCATAGTCTCTCCACAGTTAAGTGACTGTTGTTTTGATTTACTTGGAAACATCTGGAAATAGGATTCCTATATCTGATCTTTCATAAATTATACATGCTGAGCTTCTGAGGGACCATTAGCATCTGTTTAAGAATGAGAACAGATGAGTGCCTCTGTGGCATTCAGCATAACTATTATAGACAGAAATCCAAACACGAGATCGTGACGGGCACACACTTTATTCTGCCTTTGTCTGCCTAATATGAACGTGTAGAGCCTGCTGCATCAACAAAAGTCAGGCTAACAATCTCCCTTGTTTCTTTCTTACGGAAGGGTCTACAGTAAGGAAGAGGAGTAAGATCATTCAAAACTCCAGTTCCTCATGAGAACCTGGGGTCACAACTTTCTAAAAGTAAGGAATATTAAGGAAACAGCTGTTTAAGAACAACAGCCTTACTATTTCCTAATACAAACGACGCTGAAATAACTGTTTGAGTAGAAATGAACTAAGAAAGTTGAGACATTGCTTCAACATACAAAAGGATCTGCCAGGACGCTCAAGAAATCATATTATATATATATATTAAAATAAATCCATTTTGGATGAAAGAGAAAGGAAATGCTAACAAAAGGAAGGGTGCCTGTGGCTAAGATAATAGAGCTCCTACACTCGTTTCTCTACTAGGAATAAAAAAACAAAAATAAAAATGGAAGACAATGGACATTTTAAATGACCCTGGGAACTACATTTGGGTGTTGTTAGATTTACATACAAGAATTTCATACAAAAAAACCAAAGCAACAAGTACAACAGGAAATGCCTAATAATAAACATGAAGGAGTACAATTCCCTCCGAGGCAATACCTTATGATCCCTCCTATGTTTGGGTAGAAACAGGCCATGCTCACTCCAGCTCCCACAATAATCAGATTAAGGATCAGCACATGGAAAATGCTAGACGTTGAAAGTTTGGAGGAAAAGAACAAAAAGTAAATGTAAAAATAGGCATATTGCAACACTCCTATAAGAATAAAATTCATTAGCTTTAAAATGAGAATTCTTAAGCTTGACAATAGTAAAAAATAGAAAGCAATAGTACTCAATGATGATGAGATAATGAAGTAAGCCCTTTTGTGAAATTATGTAAATAGATCAAATTTTGTAGGAAAAAAATGGCAATGTGCATCAAAGTTCATATTCTTTGACGTACAATTCCATTTGGAATATCATAAGAAAATCAAAACCATGAAAAATGCTATTACCATAAAGACATTTGTGGAAAAATCAGAAAAATTTTCAATATGTGAAAAACAATAGCTAACTGATGGAATATATTTAAAATAACTTAGTACACAGATGTTAAAAAAAAACCACCCAGGCAATTCAGAATAAAGCTAGTTATATTTTTACTGCACAAGAAAATCTAAAAGCATTTTACAAATAGCAGGACATACATTGAAAGATTGCAGTGACAGGATTATAATTTGGCTTAATAATTCTTTTCTATAACAAATTTTCAACAAGTATTTGTTTTTATTTTGTAATAAAATATAATAAGGGAAAAGTGAAGTAGATAGGTATTTTCCAAATTTAACACTTAAATCTACTTACTATTCAAAGTTTGGGAAATCATTTTGGACACAGATAATGTAGACAAAGTTTGTGCTAAAGAAGTAATTTTATCCCGCTCTAAAATGATTCTCAAAACACAAATGGAGGGGGTCGCATTGTGCCTGCAGTGCTGGTATCTTATATTGCTGTCAGTTCCTATCCAGCTGCTCCACTTCCTATCCAGCTCCCTGCTAAAGCACCTGGGAAAACAGTGGAAGATGGTTCAAGTCCTTAGGCCCCTGCAACTATGTGAGAGCTTCTAGCTCCTGGCTTGGGGTCAGCTCAGCTCAGGCTATTGTGGCCATTTGGGGAGCAAACCAGCAATGAAAGATCTTTCTTTGCCTTTCCCTCTTTCTCTCTAACTCTTTCAAATAAATAAACAAATATACATATACATATATATATACACACACATATATATGCAAATGGATATATCTAGGCAACCCTTAGACCCAAGTTATTAGTTCAGTTACCAGTTCAGTTAATCCCAGATAAAGAAGACTGGTGGAATTAAAAAGCAAGAAAAAAAATTTGCACAAATAAGTGGTTAGTCACATAGAAATATTAGGCTTCCCTATCTTATTATTTATCTAGAAATTCCAACTTCAAATGCTTCAGAGCTTTCAGACATTAGCTGGGACTTTGTTATTTCTGTATGGTAAAAGGAAACAGCTTTGTGTATTTTCCAAAGTAGTGGTATTAAAGTGTGACCACGAAGCCCAGGGTTACATAAGATCTTTCCAGGAAGTCCTTGAGATAAAAATTATTTCCTAAATAATGTAAGACATTACTTGCTTTGTAAAAGCAATGGCAGATAAAAACCCCTGTGGCCTCTTAACATTGGTCAGAACAGTTAATTGCACCTGTGTTCTATGCTATACTTTACTGCCAAATACGCTCAAAAAAGCATGATTAAAAATGCGCTTGATAGAGTGATAAAACTTACCAGCTTTCTTATATCTCAATTGTGAATAAGTAGCTTTGGGATATTTTGCGTGCTCAAACTCGAGCACATACTAAGGCAAGTCTGTTGCAAGGTGGAATATAACGGTTGTCTTGAGAAAAGTTCTCATGTGGTTGAGCTGGAGGCTAATGTCAGTTTTCCCTAACAAATACTACTATTTTCATTTGAAATGCAGACAAGCTATGGTAAAATTTAAGCTTGACAGACATTTTCCTAAAGTGAATGATATGTATGAGTCCATTCAAAGAAAACAACTGGCAGTATTTGTGGTCAATAAAAATGTTGGAGCTTTTAAATAGAAACTGGAATTTGGGAGAACTTGTCTTTGCCACTCTGAGCTTAACAGTTTTCCAGCATGTAAAGACTTTTGTGATGAAACTGGTGGTAATATTAGTGAGGTGGCTTTTGATAGTCGGGGATGAAATATGTATGTATTTGGAAGATCCACGGGATTCAGTGAACCCAAGCTTTCTCAATTAGACGTGATGTTACAAAGTCATGCATGGGTTGATGACCCAACTTGCAAAACAGACCAACATTTATTTTTAATGTAATCAAGCTTCAGATTTCTGATTCCTAAGTTTTGATACGGAAACAGAACAGAAAGCCCACAATTATCTGAAAATACTTTAAAAATACCATTTCTTTGTCCAACTCTGTAATACATGTGAGAAAGGGTGTTATCCATGTATTTAAATGAAAACAATATGTGAATGATTGAATGCAGAAGCAGAGAAGAGAATCAAACTGACTACTAGCTAAGCAGACATTGCAATGTTTAGAAAACAGAGCAGAAGAGTTTAGGAAATTGATGCTTCTCCTAAAAATATTATTCATGATTTTTTATTTCTAAATAAATTAGTATACATTATTATTTTTAGTGTAGATAATGATAGACATGGTCACGCAAAGTAACACTACTGGAAACCTTCAACTTTAGGAAAATAATGGGGTCCTGAGGCCAAACAGTACTTCCCCAAGAATGCATCTTGGGAGTATTTGTAACAGTCAGACCGTAGGGTGCTCTTGTCAGGAGGAAAAAGAATAATGTAAACACAAAAGGGAAAGCCTAGATTTTTTTCCAAGAAAAACAATATTCTAACATTTATCATTTTGCAAAATAGAGGCAGAAAACAGAAGTAATTTATCTGCCTAGAATTTTCTTACCTATAATTTTGCCATATTTATTTCATTTTGGCAAATAAAACATAGCGCACAGTATAAGTACCACAGGAGTCATACTAAATAAACTCCAGCTTTCTAGCCCAGCAGTATCAGAACTAGTTGCTGTTTCTATCAATGCTAGAGACCTTGAAATTCATATTTAGCACTAAAATGATATACTGAGGGGACAGGTTACATTAGCTCACTTCAAACAAGAACCAAGAAAGAGCATTTGCTTAGTTGGTTATTGTAAATGTATCTCTTTTTCCACATTAAAATATTTTATTGCCAATAACAAGGACTAGGCATTTTCACTAGGATGGACTAATGGAGGAGGAGGTTAGCCTAGAATTCCTAAGAAAGCTCCAGGGAAGTTCTAAAATGGTGCCTGGGTATTTCTCTTGGATGAAGTAATTAGTTTTGAATAGATTTTTAAAAAAGGATTCACAATTCTTTCATCATTAGTAAGCAGACTTACAAGAATAATCTAAAAGGGTTCAATATCAAATAAGGATTTAAATTTACTATCTTCAATTCCAAACAACTGATCATTTATGTAAAAATGTACAAATCTTAAGAAATAGATGAGTATCACTGATCAGTAACTAAAATAAAAGTACTGCTTTGCATGAGCACATACTGCTCAAACAGGTACTAAACATGATGAACCTCTTAGCAACATGTAGATTAATAGCTACGAAATCATCAGATAAACATGGCTGTTGTCAGAGGTGATTAAGCACACTGGAGAGGAACAAGTGTTAAACCACTCTGGGCAAGGGAGTGCCTTCTGGTTTTAAAATTCTTCGGGTGAAAAGTTCACCCATGGTCTATCCTTAGTAACCATTTTCACCGGGCAATTTTTTTTTTTTTCTAGCCAAAGGATCAGTCATACTGTAAACTGACCTGTTTGCACAGTCATTTGTTGCTTGGCACATCTTGCAGGTCAAGAGAAGAGCTCTTACCTAGGATAAATGTCACCGAAGATATGACCCAACAGCTGGACACGAGCCAAGTAGCCGAGGAGTGGGTAGACCGTCATCATCTGGAACAGCAGGAATATCCTTGCAATGAAGGACAGGATGTCGCTGTTGGGGAAGTTGTCTAAAAAGTTCTAATGCAAGAAACAGAATGAGGTAAGGTTAATAATACAATTCAATACAAATTCATGGGACAGGATGTCTTCCGCTTATTTTGAAACACCTGCTACTCAAATTGTGGTTCCCATCCACCAACTGCAGCTTAACTGTCTTCCAACGAGGTCAGTACAGAAATCACATGTTTAGAAACTCTTGTAGAAATTTCACATTGTCATAATTTTATTCGGTTTTATAAAAGCGTCAGTCTAAAACAGACTTGAGATTAAAACAATAATCTTGTTCTTCGTCACAGAGAGATTGGGTAGCACTGGCCTAGGAGATTGAAGCACAACACTCAAAAATCTGTTTTAATACATTTAAATGGCTATCTAAATTCAGTGCCATTTTATTAGCTCTACTTTTTTCCTTTAAAGCACTTACTGCTTTCAAACTCAACAGAACACATCACTGTTTACAGTCTCTCTTTAAATAAGAAAGGATTTCTTTCTATGTCTTTTCATAGCCGTTTTCTTCATTTTAGTTTGGTAAATTAACCATTGAGAATTTTTATTTTTTCCTTTCAAATACAAATACCACAAATATTATTATTCCCAAAGGAGTGAGACTTATATGAGATTATTCTTATCAGGGAAATTTTCAGTAAACTTTTGGCTGCCAAAGAACTTGTGGAATCAACGAAACCAAGACTAAAGTGATCATAACAGCAATAATTCAGTCCCACTTCTCTTAACTATTAACATTATTCTGTTAAAATAGTTTGTAATAAGTAACACTGTATATTCCACTGTACTCTGTTTGAGGCATGTATTGTGACCACAGAAAGCAATCTGAGCTCCCAGGTACAGGAGCTCAGCAGTGGAGAAGCTGGGAGTTGAAATGCACTCAAATAGGATCCTGCTAGCTACACACTTAGGAACATAAGAGCAATCACACAGAGAGGACACATAGTGGCTTACCTGCTCAATACAATCTTTGGATAATGGTGGGGAAGGAAAGGAAGCAAAGACCAGAGCTCCAATATAGAGATAGGTTAACGTCACCAGCATGTAAGCAATGCACAGATCCCTTACCTGTGAACACAGAAAACAATCCACAATATTGAAGGAGTCTGAAGTGAGTCTATTTGAATAGGCTAAATAAGAAGCTTAAGAAATACAAATTTATTTTCTTAATTGTATATGTGTTTATTGTCTAGGCATCCAATCTGTTCACAGAATGTAGTTATAACAAAATCCACATTCTTTTACAAATAGTCTGCCAATTTTAAAAAAAACTAACTTGGAGTTTATAGACATCTTGGCAGATGTGTGAAGTGAATATAAACAGTGGCTTAATGCAATCAAATTTGATTTTTTCGAAAAGCAATCTATTTACCCAACTTTAAAATATTTGTAGTAGTAAAACAAAGAATCAGCAAGAAAATAAGTATAAGCCACCTACTGCTTGCTTTGCAAAATTAAAAAAAAAATTCTTCCTGTAGTAAATTAACTTCTCTCATCAAAGCACATGTAGACCACAAGAGTGGGACATGTTAAAATATATTTAACAAAAAAAGAAAGACAGCTAAAGAGTATTAAAGAGAAGCTTAACAAACCTAAACAATAAATAAAAAGGAAATAAAAAGACAGCTGTTCAAACAGCTGCAAAATGTTATTACTAGAGTCAGCAAACAAATGCAGAACATAAAATAAAGTGGACTGCTTTCTTCTACTGCTGTTCCCACCCTCCCAACTCCATGCAAAGTGAAAGAGCTCCAAGCTATTTAACGCAGCCAGCTGTCAGATCCAAACAGAACAGATTCCACTGCTTACAAATCATTCCCTTACCACTGCAGTTACAGCCAAACAATGCAGCATAGCTCAATTATGGCAATAAGCCCATTCATTTTTCATCTGAAACATAAATTATTTTGAAAGCTAGGAAACCAGATTAGACGAAAATTATACACAACTTTTTTTTTAAAGGTTGATAAAACAATGAAGGAACTAGATAGTACTAGAAGGTATTTCTGATTTGGGGGACAACTTTCTGCCTTGGAATAGGATAAAGTAGCAGTGTTTTATAATCTTGCACATACATTTATTTAAGAGGCAAATAATGAGCTATGAGAAATTTTAGTGTCAGTTTTAGGTTGATCTGTTTGAAAATAAACTGAGACTTCACACCCTAAATTAGCCGATGGTGAGGACTATGGAGCCGAAGGCTGATGAAGACTGGCTCAATCCCTCCCCATGAGGTTCTTCTTGTTTATAGAGTTGAGGAGAGAGGATGATCCAATGTCCAGGGAAGGGATTTCAAAACCTTTCCTCTTTAGGTCATGCAGCTCCAGGGCCCGAGGCAGGCTTAACAATCAGCTCTAGAGTGCCTCATGTTCTCACGTAGGATGAATGGAAAGGAGCCAGGAAATGTCCATTTTCATACCAAAGGGCAACAGACTCTCATGATGATATTTGAAAGTCATTCCACTCTCAACCTATTCACTCTATGCCACTTAGGAACAGAGGGTGCCTTGTTTAAAGAAAAAAAAAATCTTAGACAAAATCACCAGGCTAGAAGAGAGCTATACAGAAAGAAGGCAGTCCCCATTCCATGACATCTACTGGACCACATTATTTCGGTCTGACTGTCCTGCAAAGAATACCTTACCACAGTGTAGGGAAAATATGATAAAGACCTAAAGCCCACAGGCTTACCAGGTATGACTTACAGTAGGAGCTTCTCCTCCTCTTCATTTCCTGTTCTATGGCACTTTCTACGTCACTCTTACTGCACCTTTTATGGTGTGCAGTGAATGCCATTCATTTTAATTATAAAAGTAACCCAGGGGCTGGCGTTAAGCACATGATAACTCAACAGGTGAGTCAGTACCACACACATGGAAAGCCCAGGCTGAGTTCTGGGCTTTTGTCCTTGGAACAGCACTAAGTTTTGCTGATGTTTGAGCACTATCCTAGAAGACAGAAGATCTTTCTGTCTTTCAAGTAAATAAACAAACAAATAAATAAACAAATAAAAGGACGTTCAGTTGCAAAATGTAAGTCCTTCGTCAAGATGATGGAGAGCTGCTGATTAGGCTCCAGTGCACTGTATCCCAGTCAAGAGACAATAACAATGGGTGGAAAAATTAAAGTAACACACAAGTGAGCATGTAGAGAGAAGAGAAACACTAAAACCAGGAAAGCTCTGTTGTACATACTCTAACATAACAATCAGTTAAGCTGGGTCTGAGTTGCCTGCTTTCATCTGAAAATATGCTAATGAATAGGATTACTGCTTTTATTTTAAAAGCAGCTGAAGTTTAGCATGATGATGGCAAACATGCCACCGGAAAGCAGCATGTACGCAATGAGATTTGCTATTCTCTGCCTCAAATAGAAGACGTCACTGTACAGGCCTATAGATTAGGTCTCTTGTAGGTTCCTTTCATGGGAAAAAGTTTCTAGAGTAAAACTATCTTTTAGAAAACATGAGTCAAATTATATATATATAAATTTAATATATATGTAAACACAAGTGACAGTATGAACTGACACTACGTTAAAAAAAAACAGGTAACTTGCTCTGTTTTGAGATCAAGCAATGGCTGGGAGGGTTGGTGGTGGGGAGCAAGGACAGTTAGAATGTCAACTCAAAATGAGAACTTGGTTCATACCAGGGCCAGGAGGGAATCTGGGAGTCACATTCTGTTTGTCAAGTATAGTTTATTATTTGTTCCATGTTCCTTTCATAGTGAAAATACTACCCACAGGAGCATTTACTAACAAAAACAAAAACTGGCCACATAGTCCAACCCCAAACATTCACATAAAAACTTCTGTTGGTGTACAGCCAAGTGATCTACAGTTACGCACGTTAAGATGGAAAAAAACTATTACAATTAAAATGCTAGACACCTCAAAATTGTTAAAGAACCACCTAGAATCATGTGATTAAATAAAGACAAAATGACATAAATTCAACCAACCAATGAACAAAATAACACCGAACAAATCCTGGTTCAAACACAATGAGGAAATATAAAGAGGTCAATTCACATAATCAAAAAGGCAACAGAACCACAGGATCTGATGCTAAGTAGGAAGCTGGGTGCTACTGAATCCCCTTATGTTAAATTTTTTAGTAACTGATGCCTTACTATAGAAAAGAAATGGTACCTATTCTAGTTAAATTAGCCATGAAAAAATATTGGCTGAGATTAAAAAAAAATTCAACTGAATTTATAAACCTGGAAAGTGTGATCACTGTACTTTTTCTGGAACCTTGTTATTCTCTCTGTATAGGAATAGTTGGTGTGAACAGAAGAGAAGGAAGCCTTTTCTACTTTTTGGCTTTCACTTTTCAAAGCTTAGTTTACTGAACTTCGAATGACTCACCCAACATCAACATTCTACCTGTGCTCTGTATTTCAATTGTAACATTTTGATTCCTTGATTTTGATGTAATCATCCTATGATGGTGGTTAAGTCTCTATTCTCTTGTTTATTTTCTACTTGACTCACTTCCTCAATCTCTTTTCTTTCTCTTGAATCAGATTTTTTAAAAAGAAAATGATAACGCTATCAGCTGGTTAGCTATGCCCTCATTACTTTTTGAGTGGTTGCTGTGTGGAAGGGATTAACAATGGCCCATATGCCAAATATGGTTTACCACTTGTTTTGGTTAATAAACTTTTTTAAAAACACGCCACCACCCTTTGTTTACTTATTGTCTAAGGTTGATTTTGTGAACACAGCAGAATTGAGCAGTTTTAACAAAGACCATATGGTTTGTAAAGCCTAAAATATTTGTCACAAGAATTTTTTGAGAAGAAGTTTGCTGACCACTGCTTTATAGTTTCAACTGAAATTTTAAAACTATGTAACACATTCCTAATTGTACTAAAAAAATTAAGAAACTCAAACACAGACATAAAAAAAAAATCTATTCTCAACGGATATAAAAGTCAATTACTCAGATGATCACTCACATTGTTTTCTTGGTTCTTGTTGTTCTTCAAGAGTGTGATAATACAATTATGAATAAAGAAAGCAAGGGTAAGCACACCCGTCAGCTGTGGAAACTGAAATCTTATCTCTAGGAGAAAAAGAGACAAAAATAAAAGGTAAAATCGACAATTAGAAAATAAACAGCAGTCAGTGAATCAGCAGCTGAAAATTTGATTGCTAAAATTCAGCTAGCTCTGCTTTCTTTTTTAAAGATTAACTTATTGATTTGAAGAGTAACAAAGAGGGAGAGATTGGGTTTGGTGTGGTAACCTAGCAGCTGAAGTCCTTGCCTTGCACATGTCGGGATCCCATATGGGTGCCTCTTTGTATCCCATCTAGCTCCCTGCTTGTGGCCTGGGAAAGCAGTTCAATACGGCCCAAAGCCTTGGGACCCTGCACCCGCATGGGAGACCTGAAAGAAGCTCTGGGCTTCTGGCTTTGGGTTGGCTCAGTTTCGGCCATTGTGGCCTTCTGGGGAGTGAGTCATAGGACAGAAGAACTTTCTCTCTGTCTCTTCACCTCTCTGAATATCTGACTTTCCAATAAGACTAAATAAATCTTTATTAAAAAAAAAAAAGAGAGAGAGAGGAGAGGGAGAGACACACAAACAGAGAGATCTTCCATTTGCTGATTTATTCCCATACTGGCCACTGACAGCTGGGACTGGACCAGGCTAAAACTTAAGAGTTAGGAACTTCATCCTCGTCTCCCAAATAGATGGCAAGGGTCCAAATTATTGGGTCACCTTCTGCTGCCTTCCCAGGTGCATTAGCAAGGAGCTGGATTAGAAGCATAGTAGCTGGGACACAAACTGGGGCTCCATTATGGGAAGCTGCAATTACCTGCACAGGACTAGTCTGCTACATCTCACCAACACAACTTATTCAGCATTCATAGAGGACAAATAGAGAGTATTACTTAAAAATACCAAAATAATTGTTCACTCATGGAGAATTGGTTAAACTAATATATAGTTATACAGTGATACTTAAAAACTAGGTATTGAGGAAGATTTTATATTATGGCAAATGTTTATGATGCAAATAGCATGCGTATGGGATTAGCATCATGGAATAGTACACTAAACCTTGACCAGTAGTGCCCACATCCCATATGGACACTGATTCATGTCCTGGCTATTTCCCTTCCAACATAGTTGCCTGTTTATGACCTGGGAAATCAGTGGAGGATGGTCCACATGCCAGGGCCCCTGCACCCAAACAGAGGCCTGGAAGACTCTCCAGTCTCTTGGCTTTAAATTGGCACATGTCTAGCTGTTGCAGCCATTTAGGGAGTAAACCAGCAGATAGGAGTTCTCTGTCTCTCCTTTCTGTAACTCTGTCAGCGAAAACAATGGAGTGGTGTTGCAGTGACTGATTTCCCAAAGGTATTCAGCAAAGTGGCAATCTGAATCGCTCTGGCAGCCAGAACTCCACCAGCAACAAGGTAGGAAGGGGTGTTCACCAAGAGTTCAGGAGGTGAACCCAGACAAAGAGCTGCCCATCCTGCTGGTCTGTTTGATTTGACCAGGGACAGAGACAAAGCAGCAAGTCCCAGATGGGTGGTGTTGGAACAGGGTAGATTTCACAGCCCAGTCTGTCCCCTTAGAGCTGAATCAGGCGCCATTTTGTATAGGAAGGCAAAGGCCATACACAGTACTGTGCATGCACTGGGCTGGGAGTGAATTCATTTCTGGCTCAGTGATTTGCAACAACATGGCATCCTATAGGTTCCACCCAAGATAGGTCCAAGTAGCCCTCAGACCTGATAGCCAACAGGTTCTGGCAAGATCAGCACCACCAACAACCTAGCTATATAGGACACCTGGTGTCTCCCTAATCCTGGGAACTGCTCTAACGGGAAGTGGGAGAAAGGTTGTATAGACAATGGTGCAGCCTCAGCACAGTATCACAGGAAGTAGAAAGTGCTGAGCTAGGAGCTGAGGCTATGGAGACTATGGTGGAACTTGCTGGAAAGAGTGGCAGAAGTGGCTGCAAACAAAGAGTTGTGTGCCAACTGCAACGAGTAAAATCAAATTGTGGGAGAAACATGCCTCAAGGAGAAAAATTTGGTAACCAGAAGTATAATGACCAAGAGCAAAAGAAGAGACAAAGGCCCAGTGAATACTACTGAAGACTCACCTGCAAAGGAGTAAAATCCTTTGCCAACCTCAGAGTTAACTGAGGAATACATAAGAAAAATGGAGGATACACAATTCAAAATACTTGTTATAAAGCTTTATCAACAACGAGAAGCACGTAAAGCAGGCATTCAAGGAATTCAAGGAATATGTCACACATGAAATGAATCAAATGAAAGCTGATATATCAGAAATTAAGAATACAGTGAAGCAAATTAAAAGTACAGTGGAGTCTCCAAAATAGAATGAAGGAGGCAGAAGAAAGAATATTAGAATTGAAAGATATTTTCTGTCACCAGGAGAAAACAAAAAGCTGGAAGAAGAGCTGGGTCAAGCTAAAAAAAGTATTCAAGAATTGAAAGACATTATTAAAAGGCCAAATATAAGAGTTATGGGAGTCCGAGAAGGTGCAGAAAAAGAAGCTTGGATTAAAGATGCATTCAATGAAATAATAAGGGAAAATTTCCCTAATTTAGAGAAAGTTAGGAAACAATATCCAGGAGGGGCACAGAACTCCCAATAGGGTTTTCCAAAGGCCATCTTCACCACAACACATGATCATTAGGCTTTTTTCAACTGACCTTAAAGAAAAGATCCTTAAATGTGCACATGGAAAAAAAAGTCAACTGACATATAAACGAAAGCCAATTAAATTCACAGGAGATCTCTCACAAGAAACTCTACAGGCCAGAAGAGAATGGAACAACATGTGTCAGATTTTTTTTTAAACTTTTTCCATTTTTTATTATATTTTTGACAATCCTTACATAGTTAGGGTAAAAAGGTTCAAAGCATATGCCAGATTCTAAAATAAAAAAATTGTCAGCCTAGGATAATATACCTAGCAAACCTTTCTTCGTCTTTTGAAAATGAAATAAAATTCTTCCACAGTAAAGAAAAGTTAAAAGAACATGCCTCTTCTAAACCTGTCCTACAAATGATACTTAAAAATGTTCTCTTGACAGAGAACAGGAATAGCACCCACCAAAACCAAAGGCAAATGTGAAGAACATCCCAGTAAAGTAACAACAGAAGACTAAATGAACAACCCATTGCTAAAATGACAGGACCAAATTACCATCCATTCATAACAACCCTGAATGAAACTGCCCTAAACTCATCAATCAAATGTCATAGATCAGTAGACTGGGTTAAAAAAACAAAACTCATCTATTTGTTGCCTAAGGAGACACATCTCACCAAGAATGATCAGTGGAAACTATATTTCAAGGATTTTTTTAAATTTAGTTTCCTCTCTTCAGAAAATTGTCTTCTTCACTGAATTCTTCACTGACTCATGGAGCATACAGTAATATCATTAAAAAAAAAAGATTTATTTATTTTTGGTGCAAAGTCAGATATACAGAGAGGAGGAGAGACTGACAGGAAGATCTTCTGTCCAATGATTTATTCCCTAAGTGACCACAACGGCCGGTGCTGCACTAATCCAAAGCCAGGAGCCAGGAACTTCCTCCAGATCTCCCATGAGGGTGCAGGGTCCCAAGGCTTTGGGCCGTATTGAACTGCTTTCACAGGCCATAAGCAGGAAACTGGATGGGAAGTGGGGTGCGGGGATTAGAACCAGTGCCCATAAGGGATCCTGGTATGTTCAAGGCAAGGACTTTAGCCACTAGGCCACCCGCCAGGTCCAGTATAATTTTCTTTAAGCAGGTTCTTGATTTTCTTTTTCATTTTTCTGTGACACATTAGTCATTCATTAGCACATTATTTAACTTCATGGTGTTTCTAATTTCTCGTTTTCTTCCTGTTGTTCTCTTTTGTGGCTTTTCATTTAAGGGGATGTACAGTAACTGTGTAATGGAGACTATCATATCCAGTAGCATGTTATTTAACTTCAAGGCATTGTAAATTTCTATTTTTCTTTCTTTTGTTGATTTTGTATTGTGGCTTTTCATTTAAGGGAATGTATAATAACTGTGTAATGGAGACTATCATATCCAGATGTGAGGATACATGCAGTATGCATCACTACTTCCAGATCAAAGATGGACTCTCAATGAAACTGTTAACTATATCTTGACAATAGGATGCTGAACCCTTTGCTATTATCCATGCCCGCAATGAAGGACATATGACCATCATTATACTATAGTAATAATATAGGGGAATCCGAGGGTAAGGGAAATTTCAGGGTCTATGGAACTATATTATTAAATGATATAAATAATAATAATAATAAGTAAAAAAAAATTGTTTGTTGGGGCCCAACATGATGGCTCAGTGGCTAAACCCTCAAGTTGCATGTGCCAGGATCCTATAGGGTGCTAGTTTGTGTCCTGGTTGCTCAACTTTCCATCCAGCTCCCTGTTTTTGGCCTGGGAAAGCAGTAAAGAATGGCTCAAAGTCTTGGGTTCCTACACCCACATCGGAGACCCAGAAGCTTCTCCTGGCTCCTGGCTTTAGACTAGCTCAGTTCCTGCCGCTAGCAGCCATTTGGGAAAGAAACAGAGGAAGGAAGATCTTGCTCTCCATAAATCTGCTTTTCCAATTAGAATAAATGAATCTTTTTAAAAATTCTGTGTAAACCTGGGGATGTTCACATCCCATACTGAATCAAGTCTTTGCTTCTCTGCTTCCGATCTTGTTTCCTGCTAATGAATGCCCTGAGATGCAGCAACTTACTGCTCATGCATGTGATCCCTGCCATCCTCTGGGGAGGCCTGGACTGAGTTCAGAACTCCTCGCTTCTGCCTCGCCCAGCCTCAGCTGTGGGAGCATTCTGAACCAACAGACAGAAGATCTCCTTCTGTCTATTTCTCTTTCTGATTTTCAAATAAAACAAGGGAAGAAAGAGATAATTGTACCAGGAAACAGAGTAGATGGATATCCAGAAAAAAATCATAAAAGATAAAAACTCTGATTTCTTTTAAAGTATTCATTTACTCATATTTTCTAAAATCTTCAATGACCAAGTAAAAGATTATTTA